AAATTTTTTTTTTTTATTTGAAATATTAAAAAAAAAAAAAAAAAAAAAAAAATACTCAATGATTTGTATATCCTAATTTTATTAAAATTACAAGAGGAAAAAATATTTTAAAAAAAAATAATGATATTAATATATATATATATATATTTTCTTATTTTTGTATAAAGATTAGATAAAATCTATTTCAATATTAAACGTTGATTTATTTTTAAAAATATTTAAGTTTACTTCACTCATTCTAGTTATGAGAGATTTTCTTTTTTCTAAATTATTTTTTATATAATTAAGAAAAATAATTTTCGTTTCAATAATTCTCAATAATTCTAATTTTTTCTTGTACTTTATAGAAGTTTTATCATCTTCTATGAACGTTGCTTTTAAAAGATTTTTTAATTTTTCTCTATCATTTTCATTTTCTTTTAAATTCATAACTATACCATTATATATTTTTAATTCTAAATCTTCATGAAATCCTTTACATAAAAAAATAAAATGATTTAAAATCTTAATTGATAAAGATGCATTAAAAATAAAATTTCCTTTTATTAAATTATCTTTTTCATTTTCATCAAGCTTAACTTTTTCATTTGTATTACTAATTTTCAATTCTTCATCTACTTCATCCTTACTATTTTTTTTTTTCTCGGTTAACTGATTATATTTACTTGTATAAGTTACACTTTCTGTAGTATTTTTTTTTTGATTCAATGAAATATTTTTTTTATTATTTGAATTTTTCTTTTTATTTTTGGTATTTATATTTATTCTAAACGATTCATCTGAATCATTTGAAGAATTATGTGAACTATCAACTTCAATATAATTTTTATTTTTCATATCAAAAGAATTATTATTTTTATCATTTTCATTCAATTCATTGTATTTTTTATAGCTTCTTAATATTTTATGATAATTCTTTTCATCAGAAGCAATATTATTTTCCTTATCTGAATTTTCTTTAAGATTTTTTCTTTTTTTTTCATTGGCATTTATATTTTTCATACCATCATTTATTTCTTCAATTTTTTTAAAATTACTAATCACTTTCTCTTTTTTTTCTTTTTCACATTTGATACTATCTTTATCATCAAAAGAATGATTAATACTTGCTTTATCTTTTAATAGAATCATTTCATAATCATTCTTGATATTAAATATTTTGTCAAAAAAGTAGCTCATGTTTTCGTCTCTTTTTTTAAAAGATATAATGTACAAGGTGCTGAAAAAAATTTTAAAGAAATGTGGTAAATTTTTTTCATCATAGAAAATTCTGAAAAGCAAAAAGTTTAATTGGGTGTAATAATATTCTAGAGACTTTTTTTTTACGTAATCATTAATAAACATTGAGTAATTTATATAGTCCTCTTTTATAAATTTTTCCTTGTTTACCTGATTATAATCTATTAATAAAAAAAGAATTACAGTAATTCTAATAATATATAATAAAACAGAATGTCTTGTTAATTCATTATTTAGTCTAATTTTATTTTTTTTATTTTCTCTTTTTACATTATTATATATATAACTTATTTTAAAAAACTTTTTTATAGAATGCATAAGTTTCCTTAATATATAATTTCTACCTTCATTTTTTTCTAATAAAATTATTGATATCATTTTATAAAAGGTATATTTGTCATACTTAATATTAAAAATAAATAACATGGAATTAATCAAAAAAATAAAGTTGGTATTTTTTAGTATAAAACTATTACAACGCAAATTGTTTAAAAAGAAAAATTTATATTCATCTAAAGGAATTTTACTAGAATTTTCTTTTCTAAAATAATTTTTAATTTCTTTATTTAATATAAATTCAAAGAAATCTCTAATTTGGTTCTTTAAATATTTTAAATCATTTAATTTTTTATCTTCATTTATAATATTTTCTGTACTGTTATTTTTCAAATGTTTCAAATATATTTCTGCTTCATTTATTAAAAAATAATTATAAATTCTTTTAAAAACTTTTAAACATAAGTATTTTAAATATTTATCATAATAAGAATTTAAAGAATTTGTCGAATATAAAATACATAAAAATTTATTTATGATGTCATAGAAGTTTTCTAAATTTAATTTTATATAATTATCATATATACCCTTTTTATTATTTTTTTCATTTTGCTTTATTATATAATAGAATATTATTATATTTATATATAATGAAGATACCTTTTTATTATTAATGTTATTATAGTCCAAAAAATTAATATTTAAAATTTGATTATTTAATAAAATCAGTGAATAATCTTTCCTTTTTATATTTGACTCATTCAAACTTGTTACTAAGCTATCCTTATTTTTTTCATGATTATTATTATAATTATCGCTTAAATTACACATTTTTTTTTCTTCAGTTTTTATTTCTTTTTTCTTTTTGTTTTCATCATTAATACTATTATTTGTATTACTAGGATTATTGAAATTTTCATTAATCATTATATTTTTAAGATGACTATTATCTACCTTTAAATCATTTAGGATTTTTAAACAGTAATTATATATTTCATTTAATTTACTTTTGTCTAAAATGCATTTTAAGCAAGAAAAAATTATACTTTTATTGGAATATTCTGAGAATAAGATATCGTATATTATAAATTTAAAATTATAATATAAATTATGTACTTCAGATATATTTTGTAATAACTTTAAAAAAATATAAAAAATATTTTGATGTAATCTTATTTCTTCTTCTATATGGTGTAATGAAGTAGTAGTTTTATAGTCTTCGTTTTTTTCAGTCACATTAAATTTTATGAATTTATCTTTTTTTATATTATAGTATTTGATAATATTTTCAAAACACTTTTTATTTTTGTTATATATTTCATTAATGTCATTGTTTTTTATTTCATCTATAATTTGCAATGATTTTAATTTATTAAAAGATAATTTTAAAATATAAAAAATGGATACAAGATATTTTTCTATTTTTACATCTTTTGTTAGACAGTGTAACAAAATAAGAGATATGTTTAAAAATATTTTATGATCAGAAAAATTTTTTTCTTTGCCTTCTATAACTAATTTTATATTTTGAATTATAAAAAAATAAAAGTCATCAAATAAAAATACTAAACTAGAATTAAAAATAGGATATAATATTTCCATTTTTATATTTTTTAATTCTTTTATTATTAACAAATTATTTTTTAAAATTTTACTATATATATTATCTTTATTATATAAAAATAATTCGCTGATTATTTCATCAATTTCTATTTTATTATCATAAAAATGATTTAATTTTTTCCTAAATTTAACTTTTTCGTCTGATTCAAATATTACAGATTTATTATGACTGATCTTTTTTAATTTGGTTTTTTCTTTAATAATTAAACTTTCATTTAAATCTGTAGTGCAATATTTTTCCAAAATATTTTCTGTGTTGGACTCAAAATATTTTAATATGGAGTAATTTTTTTCAAAAAAATTCATTATTTTTATTTTTTTAAAATTTTTTTTGTCGCTGTGGTTATTATTATTTTTTCCTTCCTTACTTACATATATTTTTTCATGGTTAGTATGTGTATTAATATCTTTTTTTTTTTCGTGATTAAAAATTCCTTTATTAATTTCTTCATCACTTGTTTCATTACTACCATTTTTACAATTTGATTTTTTTTTTAATTTTCTTTCTTTTTTTTCATATGTGTCCATTTTGATATCTTTATTTTTATTACGTATATAAGAATATTTACAATCGCTTTTCTTTCTTTCTTTTCCTTCTTCTTCTTCTTCATCTTCTTCTTCATCTCCTTCTTCTTCATCTTCTTTTTCTTCCTCTTCTTTTTCTTCCTCTTCCTTCTCTTCATTATAATCTTCAAAATTCTCATTATTTCTATTATGTTTGTTTTTATTTTCATGAGTATCACTTTCAGATGAATTTTTATCTAAAATTTGTATTTCATCATGCATTATTTCTTTATTTATGTTATTTTTACAGTTTTGTTCTTTCATTTTTAGAAAATATACAAGATATTCATTTATTTTTCTTTTGGTTGTTATGATGTTTGTTAAAAAGCTAAGGAAATTGTATTTTAGAGAATATAACAGAAAATATATTTGATATATAACATAAAACAAATCTTTTTGTAAAAATGTTTTTTCAAACATATTTTTGAATAGATATTTGTTTAAAAATGAAAATGAAAGCATAACTTTTTCACTAAATAATTTTTTTTTTAATTTCTGCACAAAATTATCAAATAATCCAAGATATACAAATAAAAAAGGCTTGAGGATTCTTTTACAAATATCAAAAGAATTATCATTTAAATTCATTTCATTTTCATAAATTATGTTTATTGTTTTATTAAGAATGTTATCATAAATATAGAGATACAGTTGAGTGATATAACAAAAGAAATCAATATTGCTCTTGCTGATAATATAATATACTTCTTTAAAAAATAAGCAAATATATTTGTCTATACATATATTTTTTGCTATATATGAAAGATAATTAAATTCAATTTTTATACTGTTTTCTTTATCATATTGTAAAAATTTTCCAGTTGATATATTATTAAACACGTTTTCATTGTAAATGATATTTTTATCATTTATATCATAAATTATATGGAAAATATTTTTTACGTTCATAAATAATTTTGACAAAATTAAATATTTTTTAGAAAAATATTTTACAAAATTAACTAAAAGAATGTTTCTAATAGTATCTTCTTCAACACTAACAAAAACAAAAAAAAAAGAATCAATGAATAATTCTTGAAATGTGTTATTTTCATGTAGTAATTTAAGATAATTAATATAATATTCATAATTGTTTTCATACTGGAAATTTTTATATGTTATAATATTTATTAATAATTCAAAATAAAATAAAAAATCATTAAGACACAAATTTCTACCCTCTAATGATTCATTATTTAATAATTTCTTTTTCTTTTTAATTTCTAAATTATTACAATTATTTAAATAATTTATGGTATCATTGAAAATTCTGTCTACAATATTGTGCATTTTATTATTGTAAATTAAAAAGAAAAACAAGAACAATTCTTTATAAATATTCTCATTATTATGATTAACATAATAATTTTCTATAAATTTTTCTATTAAATAAAAATTAATATTATCGAAACAAGATTTAAAATATTTAAACATATAAAAACATATAAATTCTTCGTTTAAATTATTTATCTTAATCAATCTACTCCTATTAAGAGTATGAGGTTTATATTCTCCATTTTTAAATGTAGTTTCATCTTTTCTTTTCTTTTTTTTATCTTCTTCATCTTTCTCCTTTTTTTCTTGTTCATTTTGCATATTATTTAAATTATTATAAATACCATTCCCCTTTTTTTCAGAAAAACGTTCCCTTATATTTTTTTCATCATTTTCGTCTAACATAAAAAAATTATCTAAATAAAATCTATTATTATTAATCAATAGAATATCATCATTTATTTTTACACTTTCTAAGTTTAGTAAAAAATTAAATCTTTCATTTTTATGATGATATAATTTTCTATAACTTTTAGTATGATATTGATATATATTATATAAAGATTGATATATAAACGTAAATGAATATTTATTAATATAATTAATTAAATTTTTTAATAAAAAATCTAGTATCTCCTTTTCGTATTTTATAATATTTTTTAAAAATATCCTTTTACAACAATCACACACGTTTTCAATAAACTGTTTTTTATTAATATCATTATTTTGTTCACTTATAAAATACTCATAAAATAAAAATATTTTCTGCAAAAAATCTATAATTTCATGATTTACAAGATATTCATCTAGTTTTTCTTTACAGAATGAATTTAAAATGATTAAATTTTCCTCATTGTATATATAATTTTCTTTAAAAAACGACAAAGCAACATTTTTTAGATTTTTTCCTATTCCTTTTAAATTAACTGTATCACTTTTAATTATATTTAACCATATTTTTTTTTTTTCTTCTATATTTATATTTGAATTAAGCAATTTTAAACTGCCTTTCAAATTTTTCATATTTCAATTCATTAAACTAAATTAATTTATTATATTTTTATGTTTTAAATGAAAAAAATAAATTATAATAGTTGACTTAAAATATATATGTAATTTCAAATAACCGCAAATTTTTGAAAAAAAAATAAAATACAAATATATATATATATATAGTTACAATTAATCAAGTGTATGTATTTTTATGATCCGTTAAGGAAAAAAAAAAAAAAAAAAAATAGTAGCAATTAATAAATCTTAAAATATAATTTTAAAAAATTATAATAGTTATATTTATTTTTCCATGAAAAAAAAAGTTTTCATTTCTTTTATTATTCTATGCAATAAGCTACTAATATTCTGTAAAAATAATAAAATACATAATTATCACAATTTATAAAATATATTTCGTAATTTTTTTTTTTTTTTTGATTTTTTAATATAAATAATATAGTATTTTTTAAAACATTAAAAAAAAAAAAAAAATAAACTATTAATAGTCTAGCAAACGAAAATGGTGCAATATGCTTTTTAATAGTATTTCTATATATCCATAGTTACATAAACATTTGTAAATTTAAATAATTTTTTGAATTAAAAAAAAAAATTAAATAACATTTGAAATGTAATAAAATATCTATTTATGTATAACTTAAAGAAATACAAAGTATATACTAATATAATTGTTTTATCTAACAAAAAATTATGTATGATTTATAATTAAAAAGTTTATGTGAATCTTTATTAAAAAAAAATGTATGAGTAATCAAGTTGAAAAAAAGAATACAAATAAAAGTTTAAAAAATAATTTCTAAGCGTTTTATATAATATTATCTGAAATTAATTTTTGTGTTTTATATATTTTATTTGTTGTGATAATATGTTTTTAAAATAAGAAATACATAAGATTGCATGATAAAAAAAAAATAAGGATTTAATGAAAAATTAAATATGAACAAATATTTATATATATATATATATATAAAGAATTTAAAAAATGACAAAAAATATATAGAAGTTAACAAATATTTTGGTCATACGTACAAAATGAAATTAAAAACAAAAGATTGCTTTAAAAAAAAAGAAAAAAAAAAAAAAAAAATGTTACAAAATATATTTAATTAAAATTTTTAAATAATATTAGCTTTTTGAATTTTTATAATTCTAAAGTTTTAGTTATTAGTTGTAATTTTTAGGTTAACTAAAATTCCTGATCCTCTAATGTCTTTTAAGTATTTGTCACATAATGGAACAAATCTGATACTGATGAAAGTTAAAAATTAAATAAAAAATAATAAAAAAAAAATTGCTTTAAATATTTAAAATTATATTTATTTTAAAAGTTTTTTTTAACTTACCCTTCTCTTAAACATTTAACTGGAAAACATGCGCAAGCTATTACTTCACTCTTAACAGTATCCTATATATTAAAGAATAAAAAAAAAAGAAAATAATTTTATAATATTAATAAGAATCAACTATAATGCATTAAATTTATTAAGAATGATATATGCTATTTCATATATCAAATATTTTATAATTCACATTATTTTTTATTTATTTATCCTACATATGCTTTTAATTCAAATACAATAAGAGCTAGTGAAGGGTAACATATTTTCATTTGGAAATTAGAAGGATTTGACCAACTGAAAAAAAAAATTTATATATATATTTATATATATATATATATATATTAAAAAAGTATAAAACTTTACCAATAATTTAAATCATAAAAATTAACTTTAGCTATTTCCGTTTTAAAATAATATTTTTGCTCATTATATCCATGTACAGAAATAGTTACATATAAATAAAAAAATAAATTATTTGCTTTTTTTAATTCTTCAAAAGTTTGATAAAAACTTTTATTTTTAAATTTTGATGAGGAACTTTTATTTAAAACTTTTCCATTATTTGATGCAGTTGTATTGCTACTGCAACTATTAAAACTACTACTATGTGATAAGGATGAACATAATAAAAAGGATTTATATTCTGATAGCATATCTTCATATTTTTTTTCTATATTAGAAAATTTATTATGAATATAATTAACATCATTGTCATTATCATTAAATTTATTTAAAAGAAATTCATGATTCACATTTTTTTTATTGTCATCTGATTGAATATCTGAAAAAAGAAAATTTTTTTTTTCTTTTTCTAGTTTTTGTAAATCCTTAAAATTTTTCATTTTTTTATTAATTTTTTTATGTGTCTGTATTCTTTGAATCATATCCATTTTAAATAATTTCTTTTTTAATTTTTTCTCTTGATATTTATTTTTAATGGAGAATAATAAATTTATTTGATGTAGAGATAATATTTGTAAGTTCAATGATAAAATGTTATAATCGTTTTTTTCACTAAATCTTAATAATTTGGGTTTTAAAATATAACCTGAATGTTTTCCTCCATTTTCTAAAAATCTACCTTTATTTAATAACATACTTAAGCCATTATACTGATAATTTAATGCAACAACTTGTATTCCAGCATTCCAAAATATTAAAGGATTAAAATTTGTTGATGCTAATCTTGTTCCTGATGGGTAAACACGTGTTAATGTTTTCTGGTTATATTTGATAATTTCTTTTTCATTTTTTTTAATTAATTTAATAAATTTATTTTCACTAATTGAACATATTTCATTATATTTTCTATTTTCACAAAAATTTCGAAAAACATAACCTTTTAAACATGAATATTCATTCAATAAATTGTTATTTTTTACTTCAAAATTCTCACTCTTTTTTTTAATTATTTTTTTTTTTTCATCTATTCCATTTAATTTTTCTTTTTTGCTATGATTAAATAAGCTATTATTAATACTATTATCTACATTATTTTCATTTTTTTTCATATTTAATATACTTAAAAAATTCTTTTTTTCAGATGCATTATTTTCTTCTTCTTGATCTCTTTCTAATGATGATGAATTATATAACTTATTTACATACATATTTTTCTTTTTATCATTATTTGTATTCCACATTTCAACATTATTTTCTATATCTTCATCTATATTTTCTTCTATATCATATATATCATCTCTTTCTTCTGCATCTTCTTCCTCATCTTCTCCAACAATATCTGAAAGATAACTAATTTCATCATACATTATGCTTTGCAATCCTTCAAATATATAATAAAAACCTGAACTTTCGTTATTATCAAAATGCTTATATTTAGCTAAAAACTTATTTTTACATTTATTTGGAGTTATATTATTAATTTCATCTCTTGTTTTTGGTATATATAATTGATTTCCTAATATGCATATTAATATTTTTGCAATTAAATTTTTATGTTTATTTTTACAATGAATTTCTAGTGATAATATTATGGGATATGGAGAAGTAGTAAAACCAAAAATTTTGCATGCAATTAGTGTATCGCAAAATAAGATGGAAGATGTAAGTTTATAACCATAAAAGCCATGATATACAACAATGTTTTTATTAAAATAATAACAATCAAATTCTACACACCTACATCCATCTATTAAAATATATATATATTGTTCAATATTACTAGTACTAAATATTTGTTTTCTACCAAGATAGCTATTATGACTACTATTTATCCAATAATTACACAAAGGCATGTTCATATTTTGATATACTTTAGAATATTCTGGGCACATAATACTATTTTCCTTTGATAACAAGAAATAGACTAAACCTATTTGAGTTAAATAATGATTTTCATTAATAATTACAAAAGGAATATTATATTTTTTTATCGTATTTAGTAATTTGTATATTACCCTAGCTCTTATAAAATATTTACTATCTATATTTTCTTTACTAAAATTTTTTTTCTTCTCTTCATATTGATCAATTTCTTCTGTTTTATAATTTTCATGATCGTATTTTTCTACTTCATTATGCTCCTTTTTTTCTATATTGTTATTTTCTTTAAATTTTAATTTATTTTTTAATATTCTCAATATCAATAAATAATCTTCATCATAATGCATTAAATCATCTGCAAAGAGAAATGTATTGAGAATATTTATATCATAATGTATATTATTTTCATTAGTATTTTGATCATCTATTTTATTTATTAAATTCCAATCGTAAGTATTAAGATTATTTTTAATATAATTATTTTGATTTATATTACTTTTTAAATAAATTTCGTTATTATTTGTACAACCATTACTGTTGAAATTATTTTCATTTGTATTTTTTTCATCTTTATTATTATATGATACTTTTCCATTAATATAGTTGTAATTTTCTTTTCTGTTTTTTTGATTTTTGTCTATTTTTTTAATTTTAATTTCCTTATTAATTTCATGATTTTCGTAAGATGAATCTACAGAATTTTCATTTTTATTATTACTAATTAAGCTACTCTTAATGTAAAATTTTTTAATTTCTTCATTATTAAATATGTTTTCTTCACATTTACCCTCACACTGTATATCTATTAAAAATTCAATAAATTTATTTTTGTCTATATAATTCAATTTTTTATCTTTATAAATATTAAAATAAAATGATATATGATTATTAGAAAAAATATGTTCTAATATTTTTGTGAATCCAAAGTAGTTAATAATGCCTTTATTTTTATAAATAGAAAAATAATGATATAAAATTTTCATATTTAAATATATGTTAAGACTTCTTAAAATAATATATAATTGAGATAATGTTAAAACATTAATATCTTTTAATCCAGAAATAATATAGTTATCATATAATTTATTATTTTCATAAAAAAAAGGTTTCATTTTTTTCCCTGTACCTTTATTAACTAATTTATACTGATAATACATCAAACCAAATAACCACATTTTCCATCTTTGAATATCTAAAAAAGTTACCCTTAAATTTCTGTGTGTACTAATTATTTCAATTGATAAATTTTTTTCAGCCTCTTTTTTTTTAAAAAATAATGATTCTGATCCATCTAATATTTTAATTATGTCACATATATATAAAGAAGGATTTTTATTTACTTTTAATTTTTTCTTTTTTGAATTCCATCGAATACAATAATTGTTAACATCTAAATAAAAAAATTTTAATGTCTTTTTTTGAAATATATTATTATTCCATTTGTACATATATTCTCCTTCTTTCATTTTCTCTATACATACAGGCAAATAAGCATGTGTTAATACATTTTTAATATCAAAGGATAACTTACCTTCTATACTTGAATCATTTTTATTTTTACTTATTTCTCTATTAACATTTTTTAATTCAGATGAATTTAGGTTATCATTATTATTAACATCATTATATATATCATTCCTGTTCATGCTTGAATCATATAATATTTTTATTGAGCCATTTTTTTGCTTTTCTTCATTATATATATTTATGTCTAATTTCTCACTAATGTTCATGAGGTATAAAAATATTTATATATATATATATATATATAAATATATATATATATATATATAAAATGTAAATATATATATATATATAAATATATATATAGAGAGAAAAATATATTTAATTTTTTTTCTAAAATTTTATTTATAGAAATTGTATCCCAATAATAAATAGTTTTATTATGATTATTAATAATAAAATATTTTCATAAAGATGTAATTTTTTTATTCATTTATACTACATTTATTTCAAATATATAAAAACTTTACAAAAATGATTTATTAAAATAAAATAAATATAAAAAGAATTTAAATCCATAATCAGAAAAAATAAATATGTAAACACATAAATAAAATACGTAAAATATAAACAAATTTATAATTTAAATAATAATAAACATAAAAATATAAAATTTTAAGATACAGTCATATGTAATATATTAAGCTTTCATCTAAACACGTATAACGCAAACTTTTAAATACATATAGATATAGCACATAAATAAAAAACATTATTTTAAAAAGGAATTTCAAACAAAGCTAAAAAAATGAAAAAAAAAAATTAAATTATTCCTTCAAAAAACATATAAAAAAAAATTAAATAAAATAAAATAAAATAAAATACTGATAAAAGTTGTGTTTAATCTATATTTAAAAAAAAAATTACATTAAAGAATAAGAGCAGCCAATCAAAATATAAAAATATATACATTTTTTTAAACAATGAGATCATATAGAATTAAAAAAAAGTATATAAATTAAAAAAAAAAAAGAAAAAGAAAAAAAAAAAAAAAGACAAATATACGTAAATAAAATTAAAGGAGCAAACAAAAATTAAAAAAAATAAAAATGAAATAAAAAAGATAAATATAATAAAATACTTTAAGGCTAAAGCTTATATTTATCTAAACTATAACATAAATTAAAACTTCACATATGTATTTTTTATTTATCGCTTATTTTTTTTAATATTTATAAATAAAATACATAAATACATATCAAAAAAAAAAAAAATTATATAAATCAGAAAACATAATAAAAAAAATAAAACAAAATAAAAAAAAGTGAAAATTACATAAAAATAAAAATATATATAATAAAAATATAAGAAGAAGAAAAAAAAAAAAAAACTAAAAAACTTATCAAATTATAATAAAATAAAAATTAAAGTATAAAATACTCATTAATTAAATAAGAATAAGTAGAAATGTATATATGCATACAATAAATATATATGTTCATGTATTTATGTATATTATATACATATAATATATATACTGCATATATAAATCATTATTAATAAAAACTGAATAAAAAAATATAAACCCTTACTAATAAATTTAAAATAAAAGTTCTTTATATAATTTATATATTTTTATTTCCTTTTATATTTTTATAATACGTATTGTTGAAATAAATATCAAATAAATTCATAATGCTAGACAAAATGCAATTTATAGAATATGTAAAAATAACTAATCAATTTATTGTTAAATTTTTCAGTAATTAAATTTTTTTTTTTTTTTTTTTTTTTTTTTTTTTTTATATAGCCAAATTAACAGTTTTTTGAATTAATTAAAATTATAATAAAAATATATGTATATATAATATAATGTATAATATAAAAAATAATATATATATATATATATAATGTAATGAATTATAAAAATTTTATTTAATATTTTGTATATTTAACTCCCATATTTTTTTTTGTTTTTTTTTTGTTTTTTTTTGTGTGTAACTTAAAATACAATCTTTCTGATTTTATCTATTTTAATACAACACTATTATAATTTCTTTAATTTATATTTTCATTTTTATAATTTTCTTTCTTTCTTCGTAAAATGTTATTTTTGATTTATTAATGTAATTGAATTAATTTACAATATATAAGTACAGAATTTCTTAATCGTAAAATAAATAATTACATAAAATTATACTAACAATTTCATATTTATGTTTGTATATCTATGTACATATAATTTATATGTATATATTCAAATATGTCATATATATTTATTCATAATATAGAATCAAAATTATTAGTTATTCCATATCTCTAACAAAAATATATATTTTTAAGTACTTTTTTTACTAATACTAAAAAAATAAAGTAAAACGAGATAAAAATATAATTGAAAATATTATAACACAACCTTTTTTGTAGATAAAAATTTATTTAAATAAATAAAATAACAGTGAAAAATAAATTCTCAACAGGAAGCATAAATTTTTATTATATATAAAAATTCATCATACTTAAAAATATCTAACAGTAGAATTTTGCTGAACACAAGAAATAAATAATGAATATAATTCATAATTCACAATAAAGTATATGTATAATATTATTATACAAAATTAATAAAAAAAAAGAAATTATAACTAAACATCCTTTTTTCTTTTCTTTTTCTCAAAAATATATTTATTTTTTCATTAAAACAATATTGCGAATTAATGATTTCATTTCTTTTAAATTATATTTATATTAATCCTTATGAACGTATTAAGGATTTATTTATTTGAAATATCTAAAACCATATATAAAAGTAAATAAAACAAAATAATTAAAAAAAAATAAAAATAAAAAACTATAAAAATGGTTTTAATATTATAGGATTTTATTTTATTTTAATTTCTTTTTTTTATTTTTTTTTTTTTTTTTTTTTTTTTGAACTATTTTGGTACTAATTTTTTTTTTATATTAATTTTAAAAATGTTAAAAATATTATAGTCTTGAATATCTTTTTTTTTTTTTAATCTTCATATTCCAAGAAATACAGAATTAATATTTTTTAAAATTTTGTTATTATTTAAACGAATTTAGTATTTTTTTTTTTTTTTTTTATCTTTAAAGAAGTTTTTATTAACATTGGATTATTTTAAATATTTAACTAATATATTTTTAGAATTTATTTATAAACAGAGAATAATGTATTTTTTAAGATCATTATTTTAGAAATATTCTTTATACAATATTCAACTTTTGAGAATTATAGAATTTTCAAATTATTTCGTAGAATATTTTTAATACAGCATAAAACTTAAAATTTAATTTGAGAATATTTAAATTTCATATATCTAAGTAAAAAAAATACATTTTTCATATATTAAATCTTTAACAAAATAAATTAACATATTAGATATTCTCTACTAAAAAATTAAAAATTAAGAAATATTTAATAATAAAGACATTTAGAATTAATGTATATATATATATAAATTTATTTGTGTTTTCATTTATAAATATTATGTATAAACTTAAATAAATATGAATTTTTATTAACCATAATTTTAATTTTTTCAAGAGGAATAATAACAGAACATTATTTAAAGTAAAAAAAAAAAAAAAAAAAAAAAACAACAAATAAAATAAATATAATACATCTCAAAATACATTCATATTTAATTTTAATTTTGTTATAATTTATTTATAATGTTTTTGAAGTCTTATTCAACATTTTTTTATTTTGTGTATATTTGATTTTCTGTTTTCCTTATTCTAGTTTTAATTTCTTCTTTTATTTTTTTTTTCTGTTGAATTTAAATATTATTATTTTTTAAAATAAAAAATTATAGAAAAAAACATTATTTAGAAAATGTGTCTTTAAAATAAAAAACAAATAATCAAAAGGTTTTCCCCTTTTTTTTTTTAAGAGTTAATCATATTATTTTCTTTGACTCTAATTTTATTTTTAGTTTAATATTTTTCATTTTTTTTTTTTAATATAAAAATCCATAAAATATATATGGCGAAATATAATACTATTTTTTAAGGGTTTTTTTTTTTTAAGTTTTTTGTGTGCATTAGCTCTTTTTTTGTTTTTGTTTTCATTTTTCTACAACATATGTTTTGTATAAAAGAAAAGAGACAAATAAATTTAAAAGAACAATTTTACCTGTAAAGAAAAATTCCTTCCTACTATATTTTTTTTAAATATTTAAAAAATAAAACTCTATATATTTAATTCATAAAAAGATGCACATATGAAGAGTAATATAAATATAATTTTCCTATTTTTTATACTTAACATAGTAAAAGAAAAAAAAAGAAAATTAATCTATTCTTAAGAATAGACACTTTACTCAATAAGAATTTTCAATTTTTTTTTTTTTCATTCATTATTTAAAATACTTAAAAGAGTGTGAATAATAAATATATATAGTATATAACTAATTTTAAAAAAAATAAAAAATTTTGAAAATTATATATTAACATATATGTGAGTATTTTATATATAAATATATACAAAATTATATAGATCTTTGAAATTAGAAATGAATAAAGAAAATATAGAAAAATTATTAAGTATAATTGACATATTAGATAAAATAACTAATTCTAATGAAACTCAGAATGAAAGTGAAAATAAATTAAAAAGTTTTATTTCTAGTGAGTTATCAGGAGTATTTGATGATTCAAACAATCAGAATTCCTTATTCCCGTTAAATTATGAACAAGATGTAAATGAATCAGGTGCAAATAAAATAATTAATGAAATGAAAACAACAAAAAGTTTTTTCTATATAAACAAAACGAATATGAATGAAAACGAATCTGAAATAAATGAACAGACTAATTTTTTAAGAAAAGATATTTGTTCAAAACATTCAATAATACAGAGTTATGATTCTGGAAAATTAAGTTATTTATCCGATGAAAAAAAGGAAAAAAACCATAGTAATCCTGTGATAAATATAAATGCAGATAATTATGAAGAATTTAATAAAATGAATTTAGATTTAAATAGAGTTGAAACAATATCTGTAGATGATACTTCAAGAAAAACAAAATACAATGAACAAATATGTAAAATGAACTCACCGATAAGTGATATGTTTTCTCTCATTAAAATAGAAACAGATAATTTCACATCTAAGAGAAATTCATTAAATATTTTAAGAGATTATTTTAGTGATACAGAATTATTGCTATTCAATAATAGTAATAAAAAAAAAAAAAATTTGTTAAATATGTTAAAAAAAAAAGAATTGAAGAAATATAACAATGCGAGATTAAGAGTTGATTCATTAGAAAGTACAACAAGAATTACTCATTCAAAGAAATACAAGACAATACAAGATAAAGTTGAATTAGGTTAAATAAGTATATATTTTATTAAAATAATAAAAAAAAAAAAAAAAAAAAATTAGTTATAAAATAATAAATGAAATGAAAAAATAATTATTAATTAATTAAATATGAAAAATAAAATTAATATATAAATTATGTAATAATATTTGCAAATTTATTATGTGTTTACAGATGGATGTTTAGATCATAGAATTATTGGACAATTATTTGAAAAAATTATAGAGCATCTAAATGTTAATTTAAAAGAAACTTTAAATGGATACATAAAAGAGGTGGATTATTTGTTTATTTTTTTTTATTTTATTTTTTTTTTTTTTTTTATCTTAATTATTATTTTATTTATTATTTAATAGATAAATAAATTAAATAAAACAAATGAAAATTTAAATAATAAATTAGAAACAGCTGTTGAAAATAATGATGAACAAGTAAGAAAAATTAATAATTTTATATAAATCTACACATAAGAATTTAGTAAAATACATAAAGATTTATTTTTATTTTTTATTTTTTATTTTGTAGGCTCAAGAAATAAGAGATTTAAATAAAAGAATAAAATTTATAGAAGAGCAAAAATTAGAATTAAATAAAATAATAGAAAAGTATGAATTTGAAATAGATAATTCAAAGGTATAAAAGAATACAAGAATTAATATATATATATTTAAATTCTAAATTTTTGTAATTTTTATTTTTGTTAAAAAGAAATTAGAAAATAAAATGCAAAGTGATGAAAAACAAAGAAGCGCACTAGGACATGAAATTAAAAATTTGAAAAAAGAATTAAATACCATGATTATTTTAAACGATAAAATAAAAAAAGAAAAGTTGCTATTACAAGAGAAAATTAAAAATCAGAATTATGAAATTAAAAAAGAAAAAGATAAAGTATAATAAAATTAAAAGTATATACATATAATTTAAAACTATATAAAGCTTATATGTACGATATATTTAACGTCTTTTTTCTTTTTAGTTAAGGATGGCTAATGATATGATTTTAGAAAAGAATAATTTAATTTCAAAATTACAATTGGCTAAAAATATTGATATTCCTTACGTAAGATAAAATAATATAAAAATAATAGATTTACAACAATATAATAAAAACATAAATGAAAATATAGAAAGATTATTTACTAAAAAAATTGCAAAATTTTAAATAAATACATTTAAATGTAATAACTATTATGAAATATTTAAAAAAAAAAAAAAAAAAAATTTTATTCAATAGAAAGAACTAAAAAATAAAAGACATATAATTCCATATAAAACAAAAAACAAAATTATTGAAAGGTAAATAAAAGAATATTACACATATATATATATATATATAAATAGATATTTTACATTAATTTTTTAAAAACATCTAGATATCAAAGTGATACAATTTTAGATAATTATGATAGAATTAAAAATAAATTATTTGAGAGTAATGAAAGATGTTTTTTTTTATCCAAAACTAATTTAGAATTATTCAAAGGATTAAAAAAAAAAAAAAAAAAGATTGACGCATTAAATAAACAATTGTCTTATCTCAAACATGCTCTATTAAAAGGAAAAGAAAAACAAGATGAATCTAATTCTCATATCTTAAAAGTAAATAAATAAATAAATAAAATTCTTTATAATAATCTTATATAGAATACAATAATAACCAATAAAATGTAAAATATTGTGATCAAATGTTGCTATATATATATATATTTATATAATTAATAAATATATTAATAAAACACATGTATATAGTATTAACATTTTAATACTGTAAAATTATAAAAATTTTTTCTTAATTTTTATAGGAAAAAAATATAAATGTTGTTAAAAGTTCCATTAATAGTGATTCTTCAAGTGAGAAAATTTCAAAATTAATGAATAAAAATAATTCTTTAGTTAAAGAAGAAGATAATAAAGCCTATGAATTAGAATATAATGAAAAAATTTGTAAAATTAAAAATTTAGAAGAAATTTTAAATAATAAAATTAGTGAGAATAATTTATTAAAGAAAAAATATGAAATTCTGTACAAAAAGTATATAAAAATATTAAAAAAGAAATTAAGAAAAAACAATGATTTTACATTTATTGAAAAAAAAATTGAAGAAATATTTCCAAAAAATGATGTAATTCATTCATTTTATTTAAAAAAAAGTTTAAATATCTCCAAAAAAAATATCCGTAAGGATAATAAGTTAATAAGTTATATAAAAGCAAAAGTTGTTGATAAAAATGTAAATATAAACAAATTCAAAAATTATAAAGGTAAAAATATAGTTAAAAAAAAAAAAAATAGATAATTTTAATGATTTATATTAAAATATAATAATTTAACAACTTAATTGTTGTAAATTCATTTTAAATAATTTATATATCATCTTATGCATAAAATAGTTATGTATGAATTTTTTTTCTTTTTTTTTTTAAATTCATATTAAAATAAAAATTTTTATTTATAAAGCAGAAAATAATTATAATGATGTAGAATTTTATGTCTCCAATGAAATTTTACGAAGAATGGATGTAAAAGACATTTTAAATATAAGATATATTTATTCATATGGAAACGAAAAATGTAATATAATTTTTCATTTTTTACTTTATTATTTCACATATTATCAAATGTCTTTTTTTAGTTTAGTTTCTTTTTTAATAATGTATTATATTTTACATTTATGCATTTTTATTTTCTTTAATTTTAACCTTTCAGTTACTAAACAATTTAGCCAAAACGGGAGTATTTGCAATTTTTACAAATGTAAATGATAATATATATAATTGGCTTTTTATTATAAATTCAAAAAATCTATGAAGAATAAATGGTAATGTAAAATCATTTAGATATTAAGAATTATAATTAATTTTTTATTAATTCTATGAAAAACAAAATGCTTACATATGTATATGTTGTTTATCAAAAGTTAATTTGGCAATATATTAATTTTTTTTTTTGTTTAATTTATATGATAAAAAATAAAATAAAATAAAATACATTTTTTTTATAAAAATTATGAAAATGTTCTGATAAATGTGTTCTTTTAAAAAATTTATATATCATAAAAAAGAAAAAAAAAAAAAAAATATCATTTTTAGATGCTATGTATTCACTTTATGAAAATTTTTTCATTTTTCCTATGTTTCATGATAAGATAGTTTAAAACTTAGAACTTCTATAAAATATTTATATGATTTCATATATTGATAATATTTCATATTGATATAACCGTTATGCTTTCAGGCATATATATAAAATTATAAATATTGAAAAATATCACCCTTTCATCTATAATATTTTATAATTACTAAAAATAAAAAAAAAAAAAAAAATTTTTAATTTTTATGTGTTCTTTCTATATATAAATAAGGTTATTTATATACTTATAAAAAATAACTTAAATAATTACAAAGATTTAAAAGAAAAAAAAGGGTAATTCTTAATAACAAAAAATTTTTTTTTTTATATAAATTAATAAAAATAATTTGCATGTAATGGAGATTTTTTTTAGTATAAAGTTAGTTAAAAATAATTATTTAAAAAAATTAATCTCTTTTTTTCTATTTTCTATTGTTTTATTTAACTTATTTGTTTATTAATTTTTTTTTTTTTTTTGTTTTTCAACCAAACCATTTTTTTTATTTTTGTAAATTGTATAGAATTTTGTATTTCCTTAAAGTATATATATATATAAATATTCATAAATAAAAATAAAGTAAAAATGAAAATATGTAAAAAAACTAAAATATTCTTCAAAATATTTGTATTTTTTTGTTTCTTTTTTAAATATGAATTTGCTAGAGGTTTATATGAAACAAAAGCATATCCATTAATACATATGATGAATAACAATGACTTTATTGGCTCTAGCATTCATTCACTTAAAAATAATATAATAAATTTATTATTTCTATATAAAGATATAAAATTTAAAGAAAATTATTCAACGATTGATGAGTTAGCAGATTTACAAGATGAGACTAAAATAGAAAGATTGATAAGAGAAAAAGTTCAGTATATTAATAAATTTGTAAACAAACGTCAACTAATTAAATTTTCAGGTTTTATTTATTTGTATGAAATAATAAATGAAAATAATATCTATTTTTTAATGCATTTTATTATGACAAATAATAATAATGGTATAGTAATAATATTACCAAATAATTCCTATATTGACACTAATGAATTTTTTAGAATAAATAAAATAAAAGAATGTGAGAATATTACCGCAGAGAAACTAGAAAAAAGAATTCTTTTCTTTCAAAGTTTGATACTAAATTTAAAATTAAATCAATCTATATATTTTATAAAAAATGATGAAGAAATAGAATACATTTACGATAATTACAAAAGTAAATTTGGATATTTCGATTTAACTAGAAATATAAGTGTTCAAATTTCTAAAAGTCAGAATATTTATAAATTGAATTCTAAAAATTTATTTTTTTTTTTAAGTAAAGATAACATTAATATTAATTCAATATTTAACAAGCAACAAAATAATGAAACATTTATTTTAACAAAAAAAAAAACGATTATTATTTGTGTTGATTATAATGTGTTTAATGTAGTAAGTGATTTTTCTTCTCATACTACATCAACAAATTCATCAATCATTGCTGTTATTGAATTAATTAAATTATTTTCTGAAGTTTATAAAAATGAAGATGTAAATTATAATATATTATTTTTTTTTACAAATTATTATTATGGTATATCAAATTTTATAGATAATATCAACTCTACATTTAAAGATAGTATAGAATTTGTTGTTTGTTTAGATAATTTAAATGAGTCTGAATTTTATATACATGAGACTAAAAAAGATCAACCACATCATATATTACGTTTCTATGAAATATTAAAACAAATAATAAAAATTAATATAAAGAAAGATATAAAAATGGAAACTCAGAAAATCAAAATTCATAATAAGCATTTGCCTAAAACCCATGAATATTTTGTATTAAAAAACTTTCCAAGTTTCTCTTTAAGCTCAAAAAATAGAACAGTTACATTTCTTAACAGAACGCCTATAATAGAACAAAAATTAAAAAAAGATAATTTAAAAAATCACATAAAAAATATATTTGAATCTATTTATATTTATATAAAAGATTACGAGGAAAAATTAGATGAAGAAAAAATACAAAATGAGTTGTCGTATTATACTAACCTGATTAAAAGTGATGCTATGACTGATCTTAATGAAAACCTTAATAAATATAATAAGTTTTTTATTTACAAAGAAGATACAATGAAATTATTTAATTATTTAAAAATTATAATGAATCATTATATAAACGATTCGAATTTTTTGATAAAGGATTATAAGATACCTCATGATAAAAAACAAAAATTTTTTTATCAAAAATATGTTAATATTGCTTTTTCTATGACTATATCATATATTTTTCATTATATACATTTTCTTTTTGTCTCTTTATTTTTAATTATTACATATCTTTTGGTAAATTTTTATTTTGTTCCATCATTTTATAAAAACACAATAAAATAAATTTGAATTTATACTTTCTTTTTAAAATATACTTTAAGTTTTCTTTTTATGCCTTATTAAATTAAACAAAAAATTTTAAACAATAAATATACATATAGATATTTTGCTTTGAAGGTAAAACGAAAAAATAAAAATTATCGTACAGATAATTAAAATTCCTGAAATTATATAATTTTTATATTTATATGTATGTTTATTATAGTTATAAGTTTCAATTAAAAATTGTTTTTAATAATATATGAAAAAATAAGAAGTGGTAGAAAAATAAGTATAAATCATTTTTACTATTTAAGACTTGAAAAATTTGCATACTTTGTTTCCCTTATTAAGTACTGAGTTATTTATTAATATTTTTCTATTTTTTCCGTAAATATAAAAAATTATATTTTATATAATAGTAAAATTCAAATATATTATTTTCCTTTTCTTTTTAATACATTAATTAAAAAAAATAATTATTTTAAAGATGATTCTAATTTCCGTATTTACATTTCGTTTTGATACTATATAAAAAATTTTTTAGGAATATTAATTTACAAAAAAAGAAAAAAAAAAAAAAAAGAAAGAGGTATAGTTTATTTATACATTTGAAAATAAAATGATTTTTTTTTTAGGAGTTTTTTATTTTATCCTTAAATGATATACATTATTGTTCGTATAAAAAAAAAAAAAAAAGACAAAACAAAGTAAAAAGAACAAATAAAAGGTTAATCAAAAAAATATGAAATAATTTATGATATAACGTATAACATTATTAAAATACAAAATAAAAATAAATATAACTTTGTTCTATACAAAAATAATTAATACAAAAAA